AGTATAGAGAGCTTTTCACAGTTTAAGTGAATAAATTGTTCATGATTTCTTTCATTACATGGTCTCAAATATAAATACTATGTAGTAAAGCTAAAACTTTAATTATAAGATTATTTTCTGGTTCGAAGATTAAGGTAACCTAAATATTCTCTGAAGTTTAACAGAAAATTAGATCTGCAAGTTTAGACAAACAACTTATACATTGCAAAAGTCCAAAACCTTAAATAACTATGAGAGTGCATTATGTATTTATGAAAATCTTTAATGAATCTCAACAACCACATACTTTATATTTTCTGTAGGATACCCGTTAAAGTCTTCTAAAATAAATGGTCTAAGACTAAAATGATGAGAAACACACCTACCAATGGATGCACGAGGGCGAGGGCCTGGCGGTGGAGTGGCCGAGCACGGATGCGCGATGGGGAAGAGCGTGATATATTGGAGGTGGGATGGGAGGGGAGTAAGCGACACTGGGTCCACCACGCGGGGGGAGTCGCACCAAAACCGTGTCCACTTTTAGTCTTTTTAGTTGTGAGAGATGTGCCATGAGTTAGTTTTGACTCCAGAACAAGCACAAACAAAACATGACATGGATACCCAACCAACGCTATGTCTACAGAGAAGCATGAGCAGGAGTATGGGGTACTCTGCGCAACCCTTGCGCATCGGTTTGCAGCCAATCCATGGCTAGTGGGCCTTGCCCTCCATGCCTGCTGCCACCACTACCAACCGACCAGATAGTCAGCATACAAAAAAATACAGATCATCTCTCATTATCAATTTTAGAGAAAATAGAGTATGAAAGAACAACATCCTACTGTTTTGAGTACCTAAATATGCAATCCATCATTCTAAGTAATGACAGGGTCCAAGAAGCTACACAAGCATCACAGAAAGCATATCAGGAAAAATAAAGAAAAGGCACCTAAGCTCAAAGGCCATAAGAGCCGTGGTCGCACGGCGACGACAAGTCCATCACGGGGATGCCATCGCCCTCCATTGCAGCAACTCCAGCCTTGGCCTCCACCACGAGCGTCAGGCTAACAGTATGAAAGAACAACATCCTACTGTTTTGAATACTTGAATATGCAATCCATCATTCTAAGTAATTACATGGCCCAAGAAGCTACACAAGCATCACAGAAAGCATATCAGGAAAACAAAGAAAAGGCACCTGAGCTCAAAGGCCACAAGCATCGTAGTCGCACGGCGACGACAGGTCCACCACGGGGATGCCATCGCCCTCCATTGCAGCACCTGCAGTCTCGGCCTCCACCACGAGCGCCGGGCAGACAGCCAGACAGGGACGTGAGGTGACAGTGCTTGCGGATGGCATACCACGCATGGATGTGTTCTAAATATAATTATCAGCAAGGTTCAGTCTAACAAAAGATCAAGGAAGATCATCTAATGCCATAAGTTCGCCATAGATTAGTGATCAAAAATCCTAAAATGCTGGAACCAAAACTCTCAAGTGTGTGCATATGCCCATTTAGTAGAAGCATACATGTAAAACAACAAGAAACGGCCATAGGAAATCCAAACCTGATGATCAAGTAAACCAACAAGCAAAACATGGATTCACTTTGCTACTGCTCATTAAATCTATTTTCAAATTCTGAACACGTATCCTGCTATACAAAGGAGGCATAATCACCAAAGTTCTAGATTCCCTAACCCTATTAATCAAAGTTCCTACCCAAAAGAATATCAAGTTCAATTATGCTCTAAGTGGAAAATACCTCGAAATAGAGATAAAGAAATAATGCTTAAAATACCAATCTGAATTTCACAAACATGCCCATTTCTTGAAGGTTTCTCTGTTACTGGCTTTCTCCTATCACATTCAACATATTTCACTTTCTCTGTGACAGAAAATCAAAACTCGGATATTTTGCATACTATTCTTCATTGTCACCCATTTTGCAGCCCCTTGAAAGGAAAGATGGGCAATGATACAAAAGACTAATGGCAAAGTTAAAACTGTTATTCTGTCGAACCTAGCCCAACAGATGAAATGCTATTTGCGAAGACTCTTTCAGTTTGTAGAATTACAAAAAAAGGAGTGGGATTTTGATAAAGCACCATTAGTAGCGGTTAGCATGGGATCTACAGAAGTAGATGTGCATCATGTTTGAACACCTATTTTTTTTCTGAAATTGCAACTTTGGTTCATCAATCCTCCACTGTTCCTCACCCGAAACCTGAATTTTTCTTCATTACCTGCAGCAGAGATCTTGCAACAGGGCACCTGACAATAGTATGGCTATCTTGGCTTTCTAAACCACTTATCATCAATATATCATGAAAAATTATTTTAGTTTAGAGCAATCCATATAGCAAATTAATTTTACCTCCTGTGTTAAGTTTAATTAAGTTTATAACTTATTTCCCTCTATGGTAGATCACAAATGCACAAGGAAACTTGGGTACCTATTCCATTCAGTGGTTGCTAGGGTGTCTCTCTCCTGGTTTACTTCCGTCTTCACCTCCTTCAAAATTATGCACAAAGAAAATAGAAGTAGCTAGAATTCAGGAGTTCCATAGAGACAATATGAATTAAAATTAAAGCAAAGCATGATAAAAAAGCTCACATCAATGAGCTGCACTTCGACATGTTATGCTGCTGATACTGAAGGATAAATTCAGAGTCCTCTGTCACATTTGTGTAAATTTGTGTAATAGTAGGTAGTAAGCTCTGTGACACCACATTGTGATTTAAGTAATTAGATTAAAAATTATAAAATGCTTTTTGTGAGAACCACCAAAATGCAGCGGTACATCATTTCTCTGTATTGTTTGTTTGAAAGCTAAATCATAAGTGTAAGCAGATTAGAAGCGGAAGGCATAATACAATTTGACGACAACCACACAACACAAATACGAATCAAGAGAGCTCCAGGTCAGGGGGAAAATGAATGGACACGAACTAGAGGTCCTCAAAGATCCAGATGAGGGGAAAATGAACAGGCACGAACCGGGACGCGGCACACTGTTGACCAGCGGCGTTGGCGCTGGAGATGGCGGTGGGGGTCATCGTTGTTGGGGGAGAAGCATGTGTCGTCCTCTGCTCTTCTAGTAGCAATGATGGTGCGACTACGCACACGGATCTCTAGTCTAGAAAAAGGGACACCTCCAACCGTCGCCGTGCTTTCCCGGACTTCTGCGGCGGCGGAGGCGCCCAGCACAGCGCCGCGAGGATCCTCCTCACAGACGTGGCCACCTCATCTGGATCCGCGGCCTTCAACCCGCCGGGACCCTTGCTACTTCACTCGTTCCCGTGCAGTGACGTTGCCGCTACCATTGCCCACCTCCTTCTCCACGGACGACGAGCATGCTGGTGGATAGAAGCTTTGGCCGGTGGATGACGGGGTTCGGGGATCTGGGGTTGGTGGTGGACGGTGATGGCGGAGCTGCGATCTCTAAGCGTTTGGCGGTACCTCTTGCGACGGGTGGAGCGGAGAGGGGTAGGTGGGACGGTGAGGCCGAAGGCGAGGGCTCGCGAGGGCGAGGGCGGCGAGGCGGTGGAGGGAGCGAGGGCTTCACCAGCGGGCAGCACGCGCGATCGCAGGCTTGGGCGAACCCACCTGCGCCGCGGGATCGCAGGCTTGGGAGGAGGTCCCACCTGCCGGCGCCGCGGGATCTCACGCGTGGGCAGACCGACAACGCGGGATCGCAAGAGGCAGGACGATGGACCCACGTTGGAATGTCGCACCAAAAAGTATCCACGCTTTATTCTTTTTAGTTGTAGGAGATTATTTCTCATGTCCTTCCACCTTCAGATTGGGCAATTGATATGCTTGTAAGCATGATTGGATCAGTTTTTTCATGTGCAGAAAGATTAAGAGTTGAGATAAAGAGTTATTGAAGAATGGTTTTTTTAATCTAAAAACTCAAAATTTGGAGTGGGTTTTGAAAACTCTTGAAGATGCTCTAAGAATAGAGCGTGTACTCTCTTTCCTCATGCGTCAAAAGTGACAATAGGGAATTTTGTTAATTTGCTTTTCCTATTGACGCTATAGCTATTTGTACACTATGTATAGTATATATAGAAGTCAATATAGACCATTAATTCTCGCTTGCTATGCTTTCTTTCTATCTATAAGTCAACATCATCTTAAGAGCACTCTAAATACTATCATCTGACATAACTATTGTACACTAAACGTATGCATAATTTGACTGATCTTTGGTCAAAAATAACAGAGTCAAACTTGCTATGTTTGGCTTCAAATTTTTAAATAAAAATCTCTAACATAGAACAATAGAGAGCATAATTATATGGCATTTTGTTTTTTAGTTATATAGTTTTTCTATATATCTAAATATACGTTGTGTCTAGATACATATAGTAAAATAAAGGCAAAACGAATTAAAGTTTGGGACATATCTCACGGCAGTGATAGAAGGGTTAATTATGTTAATTCGTTTTTCTTCTTGACATTGAAAATACAGTGCTGTTCGTCTAATATAAAAGTGTGTGTTATTGTTGAAACGCATCTGCTACTACTCAATTGGACGTATACTGTTATTTTGGTTTTTTCATCAAATACATAGTTTTTTTTCTATATATATCTACATATATGACTTGTATCTACGTATACATAATAATAATTTTGTGTCTAAAAAAGATAGAACGACATAATATTTTTAGACCAAGGGAATAGTACTCTAGCACACACATTTAGTGCAACAATCAATATACTCCATCAGATTGATTCATTCTTAGGAGTGGCCCTGCGGGCTGCGGTTACTTCAACAAATCAACTAATGTGCTTGCCTGCCTGTCCGGCTGTCCGTCCTTCGCCATGCCAGCAATCAAACCGATATTCTAGTAAAAGTAACAGACTAGCAGGGGAAAGGTAACGGCAACAACCAACAATTGGAGGCCGGATAATGGCCTCTTGCTCCAGGGTGGTGATACGAGTCTTTAGGAGTGCTGAGAGATACAACAGCTGGTGCAGCATGCAGCTAGCTACAGCTACAGCAGCATTAGCTCAGTTCTTGAGCTCGGGGAGCAGCAGGCCCCTGGCGTGCATCTGCTTGTACATCCACTGCCAGTTCTCCGGCCGCACCTCCCCGCCGAGCGCCCGCGTCACCGACCCGCCGCTGCACGCCCCAACCTTGCAGCACTCCTCCAGCGGCAGCCCCATCACCAGCCCGTACAGGAAGCCGCTCGCGAACAGGTCGCCCGCTCCAGTTGTGTCCACCGCGTTGCTCTCCCCGATTGCCGGCACTTGAACGACCTGCATCCATTCATCCATCATCGCTGTTACATACTTGTGGTCAATATCTTTTTACCGCCAAAAACAAGGACACGTGGTCAGTGCTCAATACTCAACACCAGTTGAAATAAAAAAAATGCATCTGGAACATATCTCTGTACATTTTTATTCTAGTATTACTATTCTACTGTTATAGGTTCTACTACTAAATACTCAGCCTGCTCATTTGCCACGATTTTGGTATTGTGCGTCGTATCAACTGAAAAGACTTGCTGTCATTCTCCAGAAGATATACCAACTAAAATGTCATTCTTAAGAAGATCGTCATCTAAATTGGGTGCGAACATTATTGACTAACCATGCAGAATACAACTGGCCAACAACTGAAACTCACCTGTTTTGCCGAACGTTTTGCCAGTCCATGCATCCCTTTGCCAAATAAAAGCAAAAGTGTCACCACAGCCCATTTGCAATACTGACTTGCCCAAGAATACAAGTGCCTCCTCTGGATCTGATTCCCCAGACACAGCCCCTGCAGATGCCCAAGAAAGCAACTGGATCTGATTGAACAGACAAAAGCAACAGATGAACTCCAGGCACCTACCTTAGATTGGTTGCACTATGTCACTTCAAAAGATGTGAACGGATAATTTTATCCAATTGAATTCACCATTCTTTCATTGCTTTCCTACTTAGATGCATTAATATACGATTTTAGAAAGACTCACCCTATAACCTCTCTAGCTTCATCCTCATTGGCGAAGCAAAGGTCAATGTTACCAGTCTCCAAAAGGTTAATGAGTTTAGACCTAGAGTCGCGAACCATCTGCATGTAGCCAGTCACAAAGAAACATGAGACAGTGTTTACAAAGTTGACTTCAACTGAGCAATACGGTCAGTAATAAAGATGCATACAGACCTCAAAACTGGCCAAATCTAATGATACTGAAAGGCCTTCCTGTTTCGCAATCCTAATAGCTTCAATAATTTGTTCCATGTTCTGTTGCGCATATCTCACAATAAGCCACTGCATCATAGCAGTGAAAATTCAGTCTTAACAAAGACATATGCTCTGAATGTTTCTCCTAAGAAGAATACATATATCACAAAATGAAATGTGCACAAAAGAGGGAAAAAGGAAGGCACCTTGGAGCCTTTGAAATCCTCCTTTCTAAATTCATTGGCCTGTTTGATGGACAAATGATCTCAACAATCATAATATTGTTAAGAGATATAAGTAACTCTATGAAACATTTAACACTATCAAATAAGGAGATACCTGTATCTTGACTGCGGTAGATAGGCATGGCCGCATGGTGCGATTGCCACTTGCATCGACCAAGCACACACACTATAATAGAGCTTTTCAGCCTTATCCACTATGCAGTAAAATAAGGGCAAAAAAGATAAATTCTGGCTTCAGATATTAGGCTACCTGAGCAGTGTGCCCTTTTTTGGCCCTTAATCTTGTGAGATCTACACCACTAAAGCTCATATTGTTGAAAAACAAAAGGCCCTGGTTGTCATCTCCACAAGCTCCAATTATTCCAGTTGATATGCCAAAACCAGCTGAGAGCCCACGGATTGTGTTGGCAACACTTCCACCAGCTATTGTAGTTATTGGAGTGAGATCATTGCGGGAAGGAAGGATGTGGGCATTCACTTCATCAAGAATATGATTCAGCTCCTCAATGGACACCTGTAAATAGAACCAATTGCAGATGAAAACTCTGAACCTAACACAATAACACAGTTTTGCTTTCCAACGTCAATGATGTTACTATGCCAGGTTAGTTGCACTGTAGTAGTGAATCTTGATATCATATAAAACCAACCAAGGCTCAGAGGAATAATGGATGATGCAAATGCGACCACAAAAAAGTACAATAAAATAGACTGTATGCATATTCTTCAACCTCCAAACAATAGTTAAAAGGCTGCGGAAGGTAATCAACTAACAAAACATATAATTTCCACTTTTCTTGGGTAACTTTGCTTCCTAATTTATTTTCAATGGCATCAAAGAAGAAATAGCATAGTTATGTTCCTGCACATGTATGCATGTGCTTTCGCTGTGTTTATAAGCTAAAGCCAAATGTCTTCCTCTTGGAATCATACTAACCAACAGGAAGGAAATTGATAATATTTCAGCATGATTAACTGAAGAATCTTTGACTCTCAGATCATAAACAACAGAGTAAGTGGATTCGATAGATAACAGGGAAAACCTCTAACCTATTCCACACAATCCAAAGATATAGGTATATGGTTTAACATTATAAAACCAAGTGGGAATCTAAGCGTTATGAAATTATCATTTCATCTATCCAAATAAAAAAAAAAGAAAATTGCAATATAGATATTACACAAGGACTCAGCAGTCACATCATAAGAGGGGCTAATTCTTATTGGGATGAGTGTCTCGAATCACATAGAACTGATATTAAGACTCAAGACCATTCCAAGTGTACTTTTTCTCACTTGATAAATAAAGGGAACGCTGGACAACTTTTTTTTTTTTGCGGATCAACGCTGCACAACTTTGCGAAGATCAAACATGGCGATGACACATTTAAGTATAAAAAATTGACAAGTTGGATCTGCAGCTATATTTCTTTGCATAAAAAAGTCAAGGATCCCTGTCGATAGTAGAAACCAGTTTCTTTCATTACAGAGTACAGACTTTTACCAACTCTGGGGACTAAACAGTTAGGTGTCAACAGACCAATCAATTTGGGAAACGTTAGTCCATGCTTGACCATTCCTGAAGTGTGCAGTGCAGATCATGCCAACCATCAGGCAGGCCCTTTTTCAGTGAAAGCAACACTAGAATTAATCAATAATAGCTGCAGTTAACTAAAGCACAGACCACGTCAAATTGAGGAAATATCTGCCTGTACGCCCCAAAAGTACTTGCCTTTTGAATTATTCTATTCAAGTACTGGAAGAGTGGAACCATGTGGAACAAAAGAACAAGCAATTTATTGACAATTCAAGGGAGACATAACATAATTCAGCAACCCATTCATTAGCCAAAGCATTTTTTTCCTAATGAACAAAACAAAATTAGCTGCAAACCATTTCAAGCACAGAGATGCAGCGATAACGTATGAAATTCCAATTTCGATCAGACAGGTTTGTTTTGTGGCAGGGACTTAGTTTTTTTTCAGAAAAATATACAGAAATCCCATCACAAAATTTGAATGCATTAGATGTTGAAGAACAAACGATCCAAACATCACATACTCACATGGCCAGCCGACAACTTGGAAAAGGAACATGGTGGGGCCGCAATTAAAGCTAGAATTCAGCACTAATGCAAGAACCTACCTCAAAGGCTCAAACAACCACATGATGGCAAACGATCCATCCTGAGACCCAGAAGGGGAAGAAAAGGAAGGGTGTAGAATTCCGAGGATGTGTTGGCCCTTGAAATAGAAAGGAATCTCCGATAACAAACAACATTAAGAGGAAGGAGAGCATTTGGCAATCATACAGCAGTGTTACTCTACCAGAACGGGCATTGCAAGGTCGAATTGGGATTGTGATTTCAATTTGTGAATTAAATGGACGATTGAACATGGAGCAGTTCAAGCGAAGCGAATTATAGCTATACGGCCGTGTTGCGCGTGGAGGGAGGGAGGGAGGGAGGGAAGGAGGAGAACGAAGTACCTGCTGCGAGCCGCCGCGGTCGCCAGGGACGCGGTCGAGGAGGGACCAGTCGACGCGCGCGACGTGGTCGATCAGCGCCGAGAGCTGCAGCCCCAGCACCGCGGGCGGCGGCGCCGCCGCCGCCGCAACCTCCCTGCCGGGACGGAGGGAGGAGGGAGGCTGCTGCTGCGGATGCCCTGCCTCCGCGCCCATATGGTCTCCCTCCGTTGGCCAGGCCCACTCCTCGAGCGGAGGAGGAAAAAGGTCGCCGGCGGTGTGGAACGAGGGCTCTGTCCGGAGCAAGATGGGATTGCAAGCCTCCGAGGGGAGGGCCGTCTTCGCTCCCGTTTTATAGGAGGTGAGAGGGCGGACACACAAGCTTCTTGGGCACTCTTCATCACTACCCTTGCATGGATCTCGATGCATCATGCTCCATTACGTCGATAAATCTGCCATTAAGGTTCTAATAACTATTTTTTCTTGTAATAATTACCTAGGCGACCCAAGTGGTCAAGCCACACCACTGTTCAATGGAACCATGACTGCACCACTTGTAACAATGCATATCAATAAACCCCTCAACCACCCAAGCGTGAGCAAAATTGTGAGCACCGAGGTTTTTAGGGCTTATTTGGAAGGCAACCCGCGTGAAGGTGACACCTGCTGCGCCGTGTCGTGAGTGTAGCAGACAAAAAGTTCGTTGAACTTTTAGTGTGAAAATGAGGCGCCGTTTAGATCCAAAAAAATGAATGTGGGTGCATAGCGTGGAGTGGAGTAATTGTGTGTCTACGTTTGGACTAATTAGATTGCGTCACGAAAAACACTTGTTGGACAATTAGTTTTTTTTCGTCTACATTTAGTACTCCTACATGTGCCGCTTGATTTTGTGAAGGCAACCCACATGAAAATGAATCTAATGAAGTACTGAATGTGGGTGTGCGTGGAGTGGAGAGTGTAGCACACGAAAAACACTTGTTGGAGAAAAAGTTCTTTGGCTTGTTTGGAAGGCAACCCACATGAAGATGAACGCCGTGAATGAGTGTAAAGGACAAAAGTTCTTTGAACTTTTAGCGAGCCAGCGCGTGAAAATGAATGGGGGTGCAGGCGTGGAGCGAAGGGTGTGCCGAACCTTTGGCGAGTTATGGCACGAAAATACCTATTGGAGAAAAGTGCAGCTCACCGTGTTTGGAAGGCAGCCCGTATGAAGATGAGGCCTGCCGCGCCTTGTCGTGAGTGTGGTAGACAAAGCTAGCGCATGAAAATGAATGGGGGTGCAGGCGTGGAGCGAAGGGTGTGCCGAACCTTTGGCGAGTTACGGCACAAAAAACACGTGTTGGAGAAAGTGCGGTCGCCGGGCTTGTTTGGATGGCAACACACGTGAAGATGAGCCCTGCCGCACCGTGTCGTGAGTGCAGCAGACAAAAAGTTCGTTGAACTTTTAGTGAGCTAGCGCGTGAAAATGAATGGGGGTGCAGGCGTGGAGCGGAGGTCCGGTGTTCCAAACCTTTGGCGAGTTGCGGCATGAAAAACGCCTGTTGGAGAAAGTGTGGCTCGCCTCATCTTCGTGGGGATGGTTCTAGTCAATTTCCAAATGGAACCTTAGGGCCTGTTCGGCTGGTATTAAAGTCGGTTGCAGCTGTTTTATTGTGAGAGAAAAATACTATAGATTCTAACTGATAAGCCGGCTGATAAGTTCAAGCGAACATGCCCTTAGATATGTTCAGCATGTCTCTAGCTACAACAATAATAAATAGGTAAAACACCTAACTCTTGAATTAGGAATACTCATCTCCTGTATAATGGCGTCACTTTGGTCTTATCTTTCACATCTCATCTCCAACAATTACCACCGTCGTATCCGTTAGGCTATCGCCTTAACCCTCCTCACTTGTTATCATCCACCATCCTAACCAACGACCCTTGTCATCCTGCCCACAAGCCGTCTTTATTGTTGAGTCTACCTTCCTCTCTAGCGTTCATCTAGCTTGACAATGGGAAAACCTCACTAGAGGCCACAAATCCTGATCTAATGGCATGACGCGATATATGTAGAAGCCACCTCTCTCCAGAAAAACAGTGAAGCCCATCACATTTAGAGACTACCACAAGATGGTGAACAGGAAAATAAGTGTTAAGAGTGGATGAAACACACGGAAAAATTTGAGTGTTCAAAATGGATGAAGCACTCAATACACATGTAACTTTCCCAAAACATAGACATGTGAACTCTATTGGAAGTCTACGTATTATTCTAGTACAAAATCTCCTACAACTAAAAAGAACAAAGTGTGGATATTTTTTGGTGCGATATTTGTTTTGGTTCGTCCGTCTGCCCACGCCTGCGCAATCACACGACATCTTAATTACTGATTGATCGTGCCATTCTCCTTGATTGAATATTGCCTATCATGTGATAGAGGAATCACGGTAAAATAGGAAGTAGAAAATTATTGTGCTATCCATATACACATTGCATGTTTGCATGCACCAGCATACATGGCAACGAGCAAAAGGAAAGAGAATTAAGACAAAAGGAATATCTTTGCATTTCTGAGAATCTTGCCAAATCTGCATATATTTAATTACTTTCCATCTTTGCATTTGCAAAGGGGACAACTTTTTCCTCCTTTCATTTGGTTTCATGCTCACGTGTTCCATCACCCTCGCTTGTTGTTTCTTGCGTGAACCATAGTTGATATCATCTGTCTTCCATGGCTCAGCCTCCCAATCCCAAGAGAAGGTCCCTACCTCTCCCTGACTGGAGATCCGGCCTACCAGAGGATCTTCTCGAGTCCATCGGGTAGCGTCTCGCGTCAGGCCACGACGCGGCGTCCTTCCGATCCGCTTGCTCCCCATGGCGCGCCGCCGTCCCGTTCGCGACCTTCGGGCCGCTCCTGCTGCTCCCGTTCGACCCCGACTCGGATTGCGTCGGCTTCTACTGCGTCCCGGAGAAGAAGGTCTTGTCCAAGACGCTGCCCGACGTGCGCGGCAAGGTGGCATACGGCTCCTCGTGTGGGTGGCTGGCGCTCATGGACGAGGCGGCGTCCGTGACGCTGCTGAATCCATTCGCCGGTGCCCGTGTCCCCCGCGTTGAGCTCCCGCCAGCAGGCGAACACGTCGCGACGGCGTCCTCATCGGAACACGTGTCTAGGGTCCACGGCCAGTGGGTCCTCCATCCCACCAACGGCTACGGGGGCACGGATGCCGCAGGCAGAGCCATCAAGCTAGAAGACATGAGGGACGTGTTCTTCCGTGAGATCGTGCTCTCGGCGCCGCCTGACGCCGCCGGCCATGAGTGCGTGGCCATGGCCATGCTTGGGTGCTCCATGGAGGTCGCGTTCTGCCGGGTTGGAGTCGACAGCGCATGGACGCTGCTCGACACCAAACTGGAGTTCTCCGTGGGGTCCATCATCCACTGCCAAGACAAGTTCTTGGCGATCGACTGCACTGGAGAAATCTTCGTCTGCAGTAGCAACGTCGTCGGTGCTACTCCAACCGCGACGCTGCTGCCATCGCTGTCGCCACCTGCGGGGATCTACCACCGCAGCTACCTGGAATCAAACGGTGAGCTACACATTGTGGGTGCCATAGTGAGCACGTTCCACGAGACACAGAGCTTCACCTACAACAGCGCGATCTACAAGTGCAACCTCCACGACCGTACGCCGGAGTGGTCCAGGGTGAGGGACATCGGTGATCAGACACTGTTCGTGTCTAAATATTTCAATGAAAGCTTCATGGAACAAGTGTATCCAAGTATAAGGAGAACAAAATCTACATGTCTGAGCCATTGTATGGGGATCTATACGACTTGGTCCATCGACTGAAGATCATTGATATTGCTACCGGGGCATCCGAAGTGAAGCCCGTCCAGGAAAAGATACAGGGTTTCGAGGCTTTAGGTTGGATTCGACCCAATCTCTGGAAGCTCTAGAGTTTGTGAGCCTGCGACGCCGCGTACTCCGTGACTGTGTTAAATTCATAAACTTTGCTTTTTAGATTAAATGTCACTTTAACATTAGTATTTAATTTAATAGTATTGTTATCTTATCATGCGATCCGTATGTTTTTAGTATAAATTGTTAGTTATCCCGTAGCAACATACGGGCACGCTATCTAGTTATAATTAAAAGGCATACTTCACTAGATGGTAAGAATATGGGAAGCAAGACTATAGTTGAAGGTAAGGATTTGACCCGTAGTAATAGCTGTAACCGTGATACTACAACTACGGATTTATATATTAGGCCATGTTTAGTTCGGCGGAAGCGGCGCCGCCGGGAACACTGTTTATTACTGTAGTATTTTGTTTGTATTTGGTAATAATTGTCCAATCGTTGACTAATTAGGCTCAAAACGTTCGTCTCGCAAAGTACAACCAAACTGTGTAATTAATTTTTGATTTCGTCAACATTTAGTACTCTATACATGTACCGTAAGTTTGATATGACAAGGAATCTTCTTTTTTATAGTGCCAAATTCAAGAATTTGGAGGCAACTAAACATGCCCTTAGTGTCGTGCAAACATAGTCGGAGCAATCTACTCTTGATCGGAGCCGTCAACTCTTGGTTGGAGTAGTCTGGTGGCGTACCTTTCTTTACTGTAGCATCAGGTGGCTCCGTCTATTCTTCTGGCCACGTTTTTGTTTGGCACAGGATGGTCAGGTGCCCTATAGCACTAATCGTCTGACGCTTCTACTATACGCCAAGCCATCTTCACTGCCACCTCTCTGACACCACCATATATATGATCCAGCGGCTTTTCTTTTTCTTCTGCTCGTCAAAATATCCTATTCACAAGGACTTTTTTCTGTGCATCTCTGCTGATCTTCACCATATGATCCAGTGGCTTCTAATCAACTAATCTGGTGCACGTTTCTTCGCCGTTTCCTCTTAGATCATGATCATTCTTCTTTGTGTCCATAGGACTTATGCGAACATGTCTAACACATTGTAGCATAAATGTTAGTCTTACTGGTCATATATACCATTTCAATCACCAAAACCACCAAGAACATGGCATATAGCAGGCCACGTTTGCTACACGGCAGTGACATAGGACCCTTTGAAAATTCATCAGCGCAAGGGGCGAAGCTTGGCCTTTAATGTTTCTACGGCTCTATGCTAATGTGATTACCCTAATTAGTGATTTTTTTGTGCATGCTATTCTTGATTGTTTCTTAAAAAAAAAACAATACAACCACACACACTGA